TGACCTTCGGTCAATACCTGGGATGAAGGGTGCGTAGCAACAGAGGCTTGAACAATCATCCAGCACCGGAATTTAGTGCTTTGCTGCACTTACTGCACAAGTGCAAACAGGCATCGTGCATACATCGCTGTATGTCCATCTGTTGTACGAGCGCTGTGTGCTCAGCGCAATTACCGCCACTCTCAATTGATCTTCAACCAGCCCCCCCCCCGTCTGCGTATGACCTTCGATCAGTACCCACACCCATCATCGGAATGGCCCTCAGTGGTGAGGGGGGAGCTGAAGTGAGAACGTAGAGCCAGCTCAACGCTTTCCTGAAGTCAGCAGCGAAGGCTTTGGTAGATACACCAGTAGATACACTTGAGCTTGCTCAGTAGCGAATCTGGAGCCGCGGACACCCGCCAACTGCAAGTGGTGTTTTCCAGTTCGGCGGCACCTGCCCTAGCGCGTGCACTTGAACATCTCGAAAAGCTGGCCTTTCCAAACACGAATTCCTGTCGGCTTCTTCCACTGGGCTCCATACGTGGGCATGTGAGCCTTGATGATGAAGACGTTGTTTTTCTTCAGTAAGTCCTGCACGGGACGCGCGATCCACAGTCTAGTGGGTTTTCTTTTTCGCCTAAAATACCACATTTCATACAATGATGGATGAGCTTGCAAACACCATGCAGCATGCGATTGGCCGCTTCGACTTTTTGACGATCACTTGGCTGCAAGTGCTTGCGGTGATCCGCTCGAAATGGGCCTGGCACGCGAGAGCCAGGCGGAGCAAGTCAGGCACGACTCCCGGCGTCGCAAGGAAGATCTATTCAATGCCAACTACGAGGAAACAGTGAGCCACTTTACCGATCCTGAACCAAGCACCATGTTTTGATAAATCGCTGGCCCAAGAATCCTTGACATCCAAAACAGCAGCCTGCCTCCCTTGCTGGCACCCCCAAACAAGCTCATGAACTTGTTGCTTTGCCGGCCTCCAGCCTGGTGAGGGGCATCCGTGGCAGCTGGCACGAACCATGGAACATTTTTGGAACTTCAATCAAACCCTCTAGCCAAAACTCATCCACTGCTTGCTGCGCTTGTTGACCACTTGCTGGAGCCGGCCTGGTCTGACGTATATCCGAGCACTGGAGTAGACAGCCCAGTGTCCTCTCCGCTGAATTGCAGCTACACTCCGAAGCCTCAGAAGTTGGTCGCAGCTGACACTCCCATGTTGGCTTTGGTAAGGACTCGGAGCAAAGTCTCCTATGTCCTCGACCGCTTGCCTCCACATGCTCAGGTGAAGCTGCACATGTTTGCCTACTCTCCTTCTCTGCGACGCTCGTGCGTGCACTTCTTCAAGACAGCCACGACCCAGGGAACTCGGGCGTCGTCCAGCACCAGCATCTCGTAAATGCCCACTTTGCTGGATTCGCTGCGCTCAATGGGGGCCAGAAAGATGAATGAGTGGTGACCAAATCCGCCTCAATCACCCCGGCAATTTCTTCATCACTCAATTAACATCCGGTCCTGAAAGTTCAATATAATTTCCCTCTCAGCCTCAGGCAGTATGCCCCGGAGCCAAACGGGATGACCCCGACCACGAAATAATGATAGTCTCCCTGGCACATGCTGGCCAACTGCCCCGGCCGCCTTTTTCAAATGAGGGCCCTGCCTTGCGTAGCAGCAGCTGCAAAAATTTTCGGGGTGAGGGGTGGTCTCTGTACATGTGTTTGCTTCACCCTACCCCAGACCGCCTTCTGGGCTCAACTCACAGCCGAAGACGGCCACACAGTCTCATCATCAAAGCCGGCCAAGTGGTTCAGGTGGTCATGCCGTTAATTTCCTGACCACGAACAACCGTTGCCGCTGTTCCCTCTGCCTGGAGCGCCGGGACACTAGCGATGAGGCCTCCTGAGCATAGCCGCCGTCCACGGGTAGAGGTGGTGGAAAGGCGTCTCCAAACGAGTGCATGGGCCCACGGAAAAATTTTCTGGCACCACAGTTGCGCCGCTGTTGAGGGCGCCGGCGCTCTTCTTGCCTTTTCCACCCTTGGCGCCGGCCTTCGCCGAGTCATCTCCTCCATGATGTAAGTCCATGTCGGTGCCGGCTTCGGCAGCTAGACGTGGCTGTTTCATGATCTGGGCCTTTGCGGCTTGTCGTTTGGACGCATGTTGGGTCAGCACCGTGTCCACCGGCTGCCGTCCGCGTCTGACATCTAACGCACGCCCGAAATTTCCTCTGCTCCCTCATAGTAGGTGCCTCAAGCCGGCACGTGATGGGCCAGGTGTTCCAGCGCCCGACGCCAGTTAAGTGCCTCCGCCGAGGCCAAGGCTGCGATGTTGAATTGGCCGTAACGGCCACTTAGTTGAGTGCCCTGTACAGGGCAGCGTGCTCATGAACCGAACGGCCCCCTGATCTTCACCCTCGATTTGCGAAGCCAAGATTTGTGATGCTGGACAAAGTCTAGACCGAACATCCCGGTATAGGGCGCGAGGACCCTGAAGAGGAAAATTGGCAAGTCTACTTCGTCGTAATCCGGCACGGCTTCTGTGATGGTTCGCCATCTTTCCTCTGCCAAGTCAAAGAGTATAGGCAAGACTCTGACGTCCTTCTCCTCGATCCCACCTTTATCGATGACACCCCGGGCCAACTCATATATCGCTGAGGCAGCCTTGGCCGACATGCCCTGAGCCAACACCACAGCACCCGACTTCGTGAAAAGATTTAAGATTAAACCCCGGATGTGAGTTGCATCAATCCCGGAGGGTGGAGAAATCTGATCCCTAAGGCCCTGGCCATTGGAAGCGTACACCAGCTTCCATATGTCAAACTCCTGGTCGCGCCACCATCGCCTGAGCCCCATGAGATGCCATGAGCTTCTCGTATCAACTTCAGGAGCTCTTCCCTAGCCATGGCGCTGTCACCGGAGTGCTTGTTAAGGTCTACCATTCCATGGGACCAAACCTGCCATTACGCATCCTACGTATCTCCGAGGAAGCCAAGCCAGCCACCAGCTCCATCTCCTGAACCTCCCTATCGAGTGTCACCAGAACGCGGTCCCCGCCAAGGGAGCGCAGAACTAGCCTCTGGCGATAGAGCAATGGGTCATCCACGTAGCGCACGAGCACATGGTATAGCGGCATCCAGTTCATCTCCCAACTCGATGGAAGGCCTTTAGAATCCTCCTTTGAAGCCAACGGCTCGGGCTCCGCCACAACTAATCGAGGCGACTCGGACTGGGAGCAGCGCTTGGTGGCCAATGATGAATGTGCGATCAAGATACCCAAAACAAAGCAGAACAAACCGCAGGCCATGCAGCAATGTATTCTTTGAGCATCCGCAATTCACTGGAGCAGCTGACAGCCTCGTGGACGCGATCACGGTACAGCAAGGCCTTCGGTTTCCAGAATGCCGTCTGTTCCTGAGACCGCCAGCTGTCAACACCCGAACAGCGGTCCTTATCGTCCCAGCCGCACACAATTAATCGCAGCGACTCCATAACTATGCCCCTGACAGCTTCAGGTCAGGGCACCGTGAAAGCAAGCTAGCTTCTCTTTGAACAATCAATTCAACACCGGAATTTGGTGCTCTGCTGGATACCGCACAATTGCAAACTGGCTACGTCGTCGCGTGAGGCGACGTTCTTTCGTTCTGCTGTCTTGATTTCTGTTGACGAAATCACATTGTGCAGTGGTGGTTTGTTCGTGAAAGCTATCCTGGTGAATTGGAGAAACGCACGTCCGGTTTGTGCACAAGCAGTGAGCAACATCGCTCAGCTTCCCGCTTCGCAGGTGAATACATGCTTAATGGAATACAACTGGCTAGAGCATCTGCTGCTGGGAAAGAAAAAGCCGTCAACCCACCATTCCAAGCATACACCAAGAGGGTCACGTTTCGTAAATAGCTTGCTCTCGTGGACAACAAAAAGATTGACTATGTTTAGCCAAGGGACATGGTCAGAAATGAGCCCGTAAAAGTGCCTTACTTCTCAAGCAGGGTGGTTAGAAGCCAACGAGCTGAAACACAAAACATAACGAAATACTACAAGCCGGCAAGAACATCACAGCTGTGCTTTGGTATTGCAGCCAGGACTCCGTAGTACCTTGGAGAGCAATGCACATGCATCACACACGCAGTCTCTGCAGAAGCAAGCAAAGCTTCCAAGACAACCCCAACGAAATCGAATACCTTCACACTGCTTCTGTGCCTATGAGCAGGGTTGCTTGCAGTGCTCATGTTGTGCGTCTGCCGGAGACAGTCAGCACATAATAAGTCATGTTTAACTTTGGAAATTGTCAGCGCTTAAGGTACGCCCCCTCGTCCTCCTGAAGGAGCTGTTCTCATGCAGGTTCAACGGCCAGCTTGGAATGCATAATGTGTCTTCATCATGCTTGGCATACACGCGCTTCCCCGCCCAGAGTTCAGGAGCCATGTTTGTTTTCTCCGTGTTTAGCTTGTGCATTCGTATCTCGATGTCTGCCGCGGCACCAGTTCATAGCTTTCCTGCCGCCATGCACTTCGCAGGTAAGCGTGATGTTGCATTGTGGAATCGTTTATCCCAGCCGAACATTCGTCTTACTCTAAATGCTGGCGTTATGTCAGCAGTGGCAGTACTTAAGCACAAGCTTTCAGATTTGGTTGGGGGATGGAGTAGCGTTTCCCCACGCAAAGTCACGCATGGGACGATGAGCTGGTCTGCTCATCCGTCTCCTGCATGAAACTCACAGCTGTTGGAGACTTCTCCGTATGTCCTATGTGATTGCAACATACTAGCCATGCTGGAACCCGCAGCTGAAACACGACAAACAAAAAGGACCTCAGCTAAACTCCTACGAAACGCTCCAATGCATATTTGTTCTGCGTTCTGCTTTCAATGCTTGATTTCCCCTTGTTTTACGAGCATAAAGTGGCAAAGCTGAGCCTCATCAACTCAAAGAGTTCAACAGTATCCGAGTATCCCTGCCAATTGATGTGGCTGAGCTCCGGCTGTGCTGGCCGCAGAATCGCTGCAGCCGGGCTGCCTAAAGACAGCTCTCCTGACCTCCACGTCCCATTCTGCATCCTAAGTGTATGTCAATGGCAAACCAGGATTCCAACATCTCTAACGCACATTCGCTGGAAAGTAGTTGAAATCTTGCTCATGCTGAGCGAGAGGCTACCAAGAAGAAGTGGAGCATGTTGCTGACAAAAAGCGCAGCGATACATTGGATGCAGGCCTTTGCACTGTCTTGAAGCAGATTCCACACAACTACCAACCCCTGCAGGATCGATCGAAGTTGCATCGCAGAATAATGTGTTCACGTCAGGGTTGCTGTCAAGCAGCAAGTAAGGACATGGTCCAAACAAGAACTGTCCCACCTCGAAATCGCAGAAAGATGGTCTCATGGAGGCATGATGACATCAGAATCATAATGGCGCAGCAAACTGTAAGGTCGGGGCTGGCTTTCAAGCAGGACATGAGAAATGCCAGCGACTCCAGCGACTGCGAAAGCCTGGCTGGAAGCCGGTGAAATGTGCCCACGTGGAAGCCGTTACTGCACTACTTCGCGCCTGACCACCTTGAGGGCGCGTACCAGCTTCCCGAAGCGGATCAGCCGCAAGATCCTTATGAGAAAGTATGCCTTCATGCCGACTAATACCACCCTTCTGTCATCATCCAACCACAGCAGGGTGCACAGCATCTATGCTCACAGTGCCCTAATTGATGAGGCGGTTCCCGGTCCATCTTGCCGCCAAAGGACATTGGCTTTATTGGAAAGTTCTCCGCTAGCACATAGAAAACCCAGGACAATATCACCACCTGACAAGTTGAGCAGGACAAAGCCCTGAGTTGCAAGAACATGAAGCTATATAAACCCAATATAATCCCATTATATACAGTAGCTTCCATTTTCTTTTCCATTATCCCTATATAACCCCAATATACTATAGCAGCTTCCATTTTATTATGAAGCACCAGCAAGAGCCTGCATCCTTAGAGCCTGTCCTAGTCCTCGAGGGCTGGCTTCCAAGAGGATGCGGCCAAGCAACAAGCAAATCAACATAATTTGTGATTCCGCCTCTCCAGAAGAGCCCCCTTGGTCGTACACTCAAGTTCCTAAATCACGCAGAAAGATTGAGAGGCACTTTGTTGTATGGCCCTTCTATTTAACTCTTTCCTGTTCAGGTCGGGCATTCAAGTCCTGCACTGTTGTGGCTGAGGAAATCTTGCACTACCTAATCACTCTTTACCTCAATAACTACAGTTTTTCAGAGGTACCAAGTAACTAGTGCAAGATTCGCCCCATCCACCATAGCACGAGGTAACGGAGGTTTCCCCAAATTAGGGGTACCATTTTGGGGGTCACTGTAGTAAGGACTACGACAGTTTAGGGTTTAGAGTGAATCCTCTATTTTGGGAAGTTACCAACGTACTAGCAAAGCTTTGTTGATTCCAGCAGAGCAGCTGGAGGATCGTAATTCGCAAGGTAACATCTATCCTCAGCTTGCAAGCCTGCACAGATGACAATAACAGTGACAATAGTAAGTAGTAGCACTACGCATAATTCTAATACGAGTAATCATAATAAGAGAACAATACTAATAATAATAGTAATAGCTCCTTGCAAGCATTCCTGTACATGTAACTCAAGTGCGAGCAGGCGTCGTGAAAATTACCTTAGTCGTCAGTCGTTTGAAGTCTCTGTCAGGCTTCATGCTGATGCAGGTGCTCGTTTGGATTTCCCATTCCCGCTTGCAGTATCCTTGTCTCACGCGGCCTCTACCTGGCCCCACCACTGCTTGCTGCAAGGAACCGAGAAACCGATATCCACCCAGAGGAGGACATCATTGCCTCAGGAATGCAATTGCGTCTAGCTTGCTTTGTGCCCCAAGCTTCCCTGAGCCCGCATCAAATCTTGAGCCCCCAGCCCCACGCAAATCGGTCTTGGAGAGAGCTCTGATAGAATCCATAATCTAATAAGTAGCCAATCCTTGCAACAGGCAATGGATGCTGTGACCGCCTGCATATCTGCGCTAGCTCTTTAGTTTGTGTCAAGCAGCTCCCAACCATCATATTGGAGTTCTGCAGCCATGCTCAAGATCTCAGCTATACTCAACGCCAACCATGCTGCCCCACTGCAAGCAATTCAATTACAATTCTACTGCTTTGAACTGCTGCGCTGCAAGTGCGCCGCATTTAGGCAGAGAATACCTGCGAGGAAGAGCTCAAACTTCTCAGAGATGAAGAAGGCTTGCCAGCGCTCAAAGCGTGTCAGCTGGGGTGGAGCCAGCTCCTTGGACTCCTGGCAGCTCCCTTGAAGCCAAGCTAAATCGCGATGAACTCTTGCACAATTTAAGATCGATGAGCTTTCAGAAGGTGAGCGTGGCAATGCACATGGAAAGTGAAAATGGCGGAATGGTGGCCTTCTTGCTTCAAGCGATGGTGCTTGCGAAGAAACCCTGAGATGTCCTCACCCGTCTCGGCGCTTTTCAAGGCTGCTGTTTCTTCATCGGTTCGACCAGGACTGGCAGGATCGGTAGTCTTTTTGACCCTCTCTTGCCCATGCGATGCACCACACCTATGCGCTCTGATTGAACACTCCACAGCAATAGAGTCAAGTCCAAGGAAAGCCTTGCCTGCGAGATGCCTCCTTGGAGGCGCTCTTGGCAGGCTGTACCTTTTCTATAATTTCGGGAACAAGAAAAGCTGCAGAAACAACAGCGAGTTGCTTCGCTACAAGAAACTCGGGAGCAGAACTACTATGCACGGGCATGTGCTATCATGTGCTATCGCTGCTTGCTGAGGGTAGCACGAGAGGCTCCACATACTTCGCCTGCTCCTGTATAGCAGCCCATTCCAAATGGTCAGCTACCAAAACCAGGCAGTATGACACTTGTTAGAAGCGGAAGTGACCAGCTGGAGTGCTCCTGAGGAAACTTTTGTATCCTGAGCTGTTGCAGGGTTCTCCGAAACATTTGCAAGGCCGCATGTGCTCTAGCTTTTCCACCAAGGGGCACTCTAACGGAGACCTTGATGCTGGAGATATCAGCTTCTGAGGAGACGACACCTCCAGTCACCGTTTGATCATCTCATGTTCTGACCGAGCGACGGTGCACCGGCAGGAGTGGACATGTGTGGAGTGAATGCATCAACGTCTGAATAACTCAGACCTTGCAGACTTGAGCTGAAGCGAAAACGGAACGCGTGTCAAAGTTTCATGTCTAAACACATCTGTATCAGGTTTGTTGTGACAATCGTTCCCTGACTGTTGGCTTCGCTTAAGTTAAAGCTTATGTATGAAGTTTTCTGGGTAATTGCTCTCTCATTTCCGGCTCGCAGCCTAACTTAAAAGCATGCATGAGCAAGCAGGAGTCGTACGCACAGCCGGCCTTTTGCTCCTGCTCCCGCAAGCCTTAGCTTCAGCACAGGTGGAAACAATTTCAGCTTCCGCTGGCTTGAGGCTCCGAGTCTCCGTTTCATTGCCTGGTTGATTGGCGCTTAGTGTAGTCAACCTTATTACTCATGTTCCGCTTTCTGTTTGTTCTAAAATTCACCCTTATTAGCATGACACTTGTGTTGCCTCACTGTTGTTGAAAGAGATGGCCAAGCATGCGCCGAGCAGCACAAGCCACTCATCAAAGCCATGAGGGATGATCTTCTCAGAAGGCAGTGATACCTCACCCAGCCTTGGTCCCAACAGCCATGCTATGCCTTGAGCTCAACACCTTAGGCTACAGTTCTGGGAAGATTGCGCATCGTCCGTCTTTCCGAAGTCCTTGTCCATCACAGCGAAGCGCAATGAGTCGCCGTAATGAAAGTCCTGCTTCAATTTGACAGGCATAGACGTGACACTGTGCGGCCAACGGCACGCGGCAAGCCATTCAAACGTTGCAGAAGAAAAATCCAACTTTGACTAAGCAGCTGATATTCGGGCGCTGACATTCCACCTGACAGTAGACTCCACAAGCCGAGTGTCAGGCACAACAGCAGCTCCGTCATCACTACAGCAACGGCGAGAGCACCATCAACATGCGGCACAAGCGAAACAACCACCACCACCACCACCACCACCACCACCACCACCACCACCACCACCACCACCACCACCACCAAAAACCGCCCCAGCTATACTCCCCCTCCAGCTGCCGCCGCTGCTGCTGCTGCCACCGAGCCATGAGCAGCTGGACATCGACTGGTCAGAATGGCAGGGCAAGGCTTTATTGGAATCTCAGCGTCGCACACAGGACTCAGGTCCTTGGAGAGTTCGACGAACAGAAATCAAAGCTGCGCTGCCGTTTCTCACGATCTGTATGACGTCACTTTAGGTCCAATAGCTGTGCCGATATAGCCAGGTGTCGTTGGCGACGGTCGGCGTCGTGAAGGTTGATTTCCCTTTGCCTTAGGACAGGTCAGCACTCCTAAAAAAGACTGCTCCTGGATCTCTTGGTTAGCATTAGCCAGCAAGTCCCTAAAATAACTATCTTACCTGCTTCCTTAACAACCTGTCAGCTGGCATTGCGCTTGCTGCGATCAGACTTCAAAATGATCGGCTAAGCTCCTTGTTCTAGCTTACTACACGCCTGAGACTCGGTCGTTACATCTGCACGTGAGGCATCCAGGTTTCCGACCATGCACTGAGCAAATGCAGTAGGGATCCGAAGTCATACCTCCGGACTTGCCAGCAGCAGTTTGATTGATTGCAGGCCACGATTGGACACCGTCAGATCACGCTAGCTTGCCCTGAAGATGCAGTGACCCTATGTACCCATACGCTCTGTAGCCTGCAGCATAGGCAGTACATAGAGAGTGGGGCATCCCTGCCCAATTCCACGCTGCACTCGGCCTGGCACAATGTCAGCCTCACGTAGTCCTGGATGGGCACCACAGCTCACACGCAGAGTTCTCCCCCGCCAACGCATGCTTGCCACTACTCTTGCTTGTCACGGCCAGCAGTGTGGTACAGCTTCCAGATTTGCAGAAGGCTACTCTTTACCGCTGCGTCTTGTTGATCTGACGCTCTGAGGTTGCTTGTCTCTCTAACTGCTATGTGTCAGTATGTCTAACTGCTATCTGCGTATGTCTCGGCTGTCGCATACTGCAAGTACCTATGCGGCATGATCTCTTATCCAAGTGAGTCACTAGGTGAGCTGTTGGGGTTTGGTATCCGCCCCGCCTGTAGCTTTCCAAATGCTGACCTCGCAGGAATCTAAGTCTGTTTGGAAGCGGGCCCTCGCCCATTACCACTAGAATCATCACTCCACGCAGCTCTCTGCGGTACTGTGCGCCGGGCCTCAATCTCGTAAGCCATGTTGATCAACTGTGCATGTCAGTTGTGGCTCGGAAATGCCCGGCTGAAATGGGACAACTAACGAGTCAAGTCAGAGCATCGCAGGCCTGATTGACATCCTCGTCCAGATCATACACAGCTTTCGCAGTAGAAACTTGCAGGGGCCAAAGCATTGGACTAAATCCAAAAAGTTGGACTCTGGGATGACCTAGGACCGAGGTGCAGCTTGCCTGAAACCTGCTTTTGTGGCTCGGGAGGAAGGATCTCCAACTCCTCCTGCGCAGGGAAGCAGGTGTTGCATCACATGTGCCGCATTGCTTGAGCGATGCAAGCTCCCAGACTGATTGCATGAACTGCTCGCACCTTGTTCGAAATGATGGATGCAGCTTCCTCTCGATGCAGGACCTGAGGAAACGTACCGGACCTTGCCATGGAATCCTCCCGTCTTACTTTGCACGCACATGCCTCTCAGAGCGCTTGCCCTGTCCTGCTACACTTGCGTTGAAGCAGGGTCGAAGCACACTGAGGCCACTACTCCTTCGTCCAGCAGCCTATGCAGCACGCGGCGCTAGCAACAAAACAGCATGGCGTTAGTCTAGCTGTCTGTTCAGACCAGTTTTTTTCTACTTACTGGCAGCCTGCCGACACATTCCTCATCATAAATCGAACTTTCGGAAGCCGAACGAAGCACCAACAGCCGTTGCACAACCCGTTGGTGCGAGCAGGGTGAGCCCGACACACAGCAGAGGAGGCATCGCTGAAGAGTTTGGTCAAGTCTGCCTGGCCCAGGCAATGCAGCAATTTGCACCATTAGAGGCATGTCTGCACTTAGGCCTTCTCCTGCACCAGCCTCTCATACTCTTGGGTGAGTCCTTCCGCTTGTATTTGGTTAGTCCCAGGAACTGTCACACACGATGAACGACAGAGTTCAGGAAGGTCCTGCTAAGTGCTGGTAGAACAAGGCTGAGTCCATCTTTCAATGAAGCCACAGCGAGCAGTCCCCAGCCGCTGCTGGTAGCTTAAGCCAAACAAGAACACAGTAGGCGGATGGGTGGCTCTGACTGTGCGGACTGCGGGATAGGATCTGGACATCTCAGTAAGCGCGTAGCATAGGTCAATGAGCACATGTCGCGTAAACATCGCGTTTCTTTTCATGTCATTCATGGCTGGACGGCTGGACATGCAACACAACACGAAGCTCCGGCTCCTACTTGCTGAGTTCACGGCTACTCGTTCCACGAGACATCCGGCAGTACATAAGGCCGATCATCAACGCATTTTGTATCTGCAGCGCGGCTGGCAGGAGCAGGCTCCGCAGGAATCACCGAACACTCCAGACTGACACAGCAAAACCTTCAATTGAATACTGCTGGTGAGCTCTTCCTGTCTGGGCGCACACTCATCGTCAAGGTGTGAAGATACACGATCCCAACACCGCTGAAGCAGCCATGCCTGCGGCTCTTCAAGGATCGAGTCCTTACTGCTTAGTAGGGAATAAGGAAATACACTCCCGATATATGAGATTCCCTTATTCTCTACTAACCCTAACCCAAAACCCTATATGGCACCTTCCATATTTTGCCATTATCCCTATAGAATCCCTATAAAATATATTCCCTTATTCTCTGCTAATCCCCAGTAAGCTCAGAAGCAACAGAGGACTCGGACTACAGCAACCTGGGTTGCTGTTAAGGAACTTAAGTGACAATAATATGAGTATGGTCCATCATGGGGTTTCCTTATTACATTAACGAACCCTACACACTAAATCCTAAATCTCAAACCCTATATACTATATACCCTTATAGTAAACAATAGGGCTTTCCTTAACATGGCAACTTAATCTAACGTTCCTTAACAGCAACCCATCTCAACGCCCCGAAGCCATGCCTAGCTCCTCTCTGCTTCATGTAAGGCGACCTCAAAGCTTTGAGGAGGTAATATTGCGAATATCCCTAAACCCTAAACCCTAATTGACGCTACGAATATTCATACTAATATTCATGTTATGATTATAGAGTGAGATTCATACTATCATTCATAATGTATAGCTTATAATGTAATTATAGTCTTTTTTTAATGTTGCTAATACAGCCAATAAGATTATTAGCAGATGCTGGCAGGCTTTCGCAGCTCAGCCCAGAACCCAGGAACACCCCATCCGATGGTCATGCCAATCTGGCAAAGAAGCGACCGCATGTTCCAAAGACCGCAGGATAAAATGGAAACTATTATAGTATATTGGGATTCTGTATGGGTACTGTAGAATAAAGTGGAAACTACTATAGTATACTGAGGTTATATAAGGATAATGGAAAAGAAAATGGAAACTACAATACTGTAGTATATGGGGGTTGCCGCCTCCAAGCTGAGATACATGGCGTCCAGCAGAGACTTTATCCTTGTCTGCTTTAATCATCACGTGGGAAGTCCAGGACCGGCTTAGATGCAATCCAGCATCTGCAGGTCGCAGGACTCATCCACCATGTAATATATCCTGTGTCGGGAAGGGCTACGTACATTCATGAAAGTGCACAAGCGGAGTTTCAATGCGAAGGAAAATCTTGACCACATGAGACAAAGAGTTGATCAAGTGGTCTTCAAACATTGTGACATTGCTCTCTTTGCCAGCTCGCATAGCAGCTTTCACAAGCAGCAAACATGCTGAGCCCCGAGCAGCGAGAAAAGGAGGTGGGTGAACAGGTAGCTTGCCTCAGACCATGAAGGGCTCTGTTTTTTTGAATGAGAAGTTGGCAAACCAAATGCAAGTACCCTAACGAAAAGCCTTACACCCCTTCGCTGCGCGATGCCATGCTGTATCGCGGGAGTGCATCTTGAGGAGCAGCTTACACCTACATCGCCATCCCCGACTAACACCCTCAAAGTTAAAGGAGTGAGTAATAATGAGCACCAAAAGGGATAAGGTCCATCATAGTCAGAGGACAGAGGTGTCCAGCCGGCTCCCTCAGCCTAGCAAGGGATAATGTAGTTGTAAGCCTTAACCCATGAGTCCTGGCTTCTGCCTTATATGCCTTGCACGGGAGGAGGATCTCTCGTGGCATTCAGAATGCCCAGGTATGAGCATTCTCTTGACTTTTTTTCGAATCTGCGGGCTCCAAACATGCTTGAATCCAGTAATCTGGCTTAGGACTGGTAGCACACGCCTGATCCTACAAGGCAAACAGCAATATAACGCATTGCGTAAGTCAGCCGCGCAGAAGAAGGCTATGATCTTGATGGTGCTATGATGGATCACCTGCAAACGCAAAGTCGGTCATTTGCGTCTCAAAGCGAAGCAGAAACCCATCATCCCTTAAAATTACGCTGCTAACATGTCTGGCTTCTGATGCGACATACAAGGCAGGCGTGCCGAGTGGAAGGGATCTGCCCAAAAGGCTGCCCATCTTGGAAATTGCAGGTGTCGGCCCCGGATGCGAAAGACATGGTTCTTGCGCTGGTTGCCCTGCTCGCTGAGAAGCCGGCCCTGTGTGGAGAGGGGTGCGGACGCGTCGCACATTGATGCGCCCTGCCGTCACAGCACAAAATACGTGGCGCCATCCCCTACACGCTTTAAGCTTTCTGGACTCTCCTGCAGAAACGTCATGCAAAAGTTTTGCCACTGCCTGTGCTTTGGGCGGTCGTTCGACCGCGTTCTATGAATCTTCTTACCTGTCAGTGGGACGATAGGTTGCGAGTTTGCACAACGAAGTGCGCACGGCCCACCGAAGCAACGAGGGTGCGCAACGGTACGGTGGCCTGGCCCTCAGGCTGCACATCAAACGGCGTTTGCATCTGCTGAACCATCTCCATATGCTTTGGCAATACGCTGTTGTCTGGTTTCCTGTTGTTTGCAAAACATCGGACTGTAGCTTTGCACTGGTTTAAGTGAGGTCGGACTGTAGCTCATGAAGGTGCTGGCTGCAGATCTGAAAGCCCCGTGACTTGAGTTAAACTGGTTGCCGCAATTGTTCAAGGTACATGGCGCGGGCTGATGGCTTTTTTCATTTGCAAAGTTCCACTGCACTGCAGGACCGCGGTCTTGGCCTTTTTCAGCTCTCAAATGTGAACTGTCTTGAATCCCTCCTCGGGGCCTCACACGACGGAGATGCCAAAGGAAAGCTGTGACCTTAATCTTCCCAATCTCTCAATAGATTTTCTGCCGGTTCGGCACACCAGCACATGAAGTGGGAGCCTGTCAGAATGGCCGGTGAAGTTTCTGATCGGCCCTTGAGGTAGCCATGAAAGCCTTCCAGCTTGTTCATGTAGCAGGCACAACCCACAAAGGGCAAGCTTGCTGATGCCTTGTGAGGAGCCAAAATTACCGGGGCTAATGGATGGACGCGGAGGTGCTGAAGTGAAAGGAGAATCGGGATGCTTCTCCTGCCAGCTTTGCATCACACGACTAGCTACATGGCGTGCGGGCTCATGCTAAGCTCGTCCTCCCATGTCTGCCCTCCGTGATCCTGCGCTGGCTCTACATCCAAGATGGAGCTGTCAATTGTGCTCGGGCGCTTCCTCAGTTTGAATTGCTGCTTCGAGTGGGCAAGCAGTCCGGCAGTCTAGAGTGAGGAGCTCCGAAAATTTCAGCTTGGCATCTTGGACGCCTTCAGCGCCTCGGGTCAAGCAGCCAGGTAATCACAGGCACCAGCTGTCACCAGTTCAGCAGTTGGGGAGGCGGCTGCATTTGCCAATTTGAGAAGCATGCTGCGGACGCTATGCTACCAGTCGAATGCACCACGTAGGTATCAGTTGTAAGCTTTGCAATGGGCTTGCTGAAGCCAGCTGACACTGCATCAGCTTGCGTGCAGGGTGCTTCCAAGGCCCACGGTGGTAGATTGTCGGCCTCTGAGCTTGGCCAGCTTTGCGCGCATGGCAGCGACTGGCGCAAGACAGATACCTGCAGGCATCTGCAGGCATGTTTCCTCACGGCCTAGGGCTTGCTTAAATTTACCAGAATTTGAACGCGGGACAGGTAAAACGTCTTGCGCGTGACAGTGCACAGTGACACCTAAAAACCTCCCGTACAGCCCGTGGCCTAAACAGGTTTT